CCCATTAAAATCTCCTGGGCTGGTTTCAATAGTCACCGGGAAATCGATGCCGATTCCCCCAGGAGACTCCAGGCCAAGCCTGGAGAGTTGGCAACCAGAATCCTAACCCCTCCTGCCCCCCGCTGTGTCCTCTCCCAACCCTCAGACCTGTTCTCCTGCATGGCTCACGGGCAGAACGTTTATTACGGTTCTGGGGAAGCAAAACAAACCAAGTGACCTGCTTCTACCTGGGGATTTCCCAGTGTGCTTTGCCTTCCGGGTGTCTGCCTTTTCGACTCTTTGGGACAGGGGTTGTTTCTGTACTGTGCTGTATTGTACACTGGCTGGGGAGAGGGGACGACCCCAGGTGTTGTAGGGCGGTGAGGTTAATTTAAGTAAGGGGCAAATTGGTAAGAATTAAAGTTGTTGATAATCTGCCACAAAAGCAGTGACGTCCAGGGTGCAGGCCCGCTTTCCTGGGAAGGGTCTCATTTTTGGAAAGCACTTGAATTAATCACAACCTCTGGGTAGGTGATTTCTCCACTTTGCAGATGGGGAAATTGAACTGAAATGACTTGCACGAAGCCCCGCCGCTACTCAGTAGCGAAGCCGGGAGTCCTGCGGCCTGGTCTGCACTGCAGAGTTAGATCGACGTGAGCTGCCTTGGGACTCACGAGCTGTGGAAGTGTCTTCGCTTCCGTTTGGCTCCCGCCGACGTAAGCGCCTCTCGGTGCTGATTTAGTAACACCACCTCCCCGCGCGGCAGAGTCAAGGTTGATGGAGTTAGGCCGATGCCGTGTCAGTGTAGACACGGCGTCGCTTGTGCCGATTGTTCCTGGCTCTCCGGAACCGTCACACAATGGCCCACGCTGACAACAGAATCACTACAGCGCACCAGGTGAGAACGCGCACGGCCGACACAAGGGGCCACGTGTGCGCCTTAACTGCGGTGGCTGTATGTTGATGTACGTTAGGTTGACGTAATCTGCCCTGGGTCTTAGGCCAGCCCTACACGACAGACTCACGTGGGTATAACTGCATTGCTCAGAGCTGTGAAATATCCCCACCCGCAGCAACGTAACCCTGCAACCGAACCCCCGGCGTAGGCAGCGCTGTGTCGAAGGGAGAGCTGCTCCCGTCACAGAGCTACCACCTCTGGCGGAAGTGGATTAACCACGCTGGTGGGAGAAGCTCTCCCGTCGGCCTAGGAGCACAGCGTCACTGCTGCAGCCTTACAAGTGTAACCTGCCCTTGGTCTTTCCTCTCTAGTACAGAGTCTGCACCCTACAAATCACTTTCTTTTCCCTCCAGCTGGGAAGCACTGGGTGTAAAAATACGTGATGAAACAACTCATGCCAAGCTCCTTTAGTTCCTTTCTCTGACACCACAGCTGGGTGGGCAGTGGAAACGAGGTGGTAACACAGCAGTGCCCGTGATTAAACTCCCCGTAACTCCACTAACTTCGGGGGGTTGCCTGGGCTGCGTTTAGCCAATGGAGCGACTTCTTCATGCTGTTCTAGGACTTTACAAGTTCTTCCCCTTCTCTCTTTGTACACAGGAATTGTCCTCTCACATCAGACCAGTCGTCCATTTAGCACAGTGGCACGTGGTCCAGAGAACAGTAAAAGAACCAGCCTTATGGGTTGACCCCATCACAGGGGTTCGCTCCCTGCTAGTGGCGCCTCCTGCTGGCCGTCCTGGAGATTAGCTCCAGCCAGGCATTGCGCCCTCCGCTCGCGGTGCCTCTCCTGTCATCCTCTAGCCCTGCGGACCCCTCTCCCTCTCCAGGAACTGCAGCCTCCTCTCCGTCACTCGGTCCTCTGGGCACGTCGCCATACATGTCCCCCCCTCCGCCTTCCCGGGTATCAAAGTCTCTCTTGACAAATGGGCTCTGGCAGTCTTCCTGCTCCTTGCCCTGCTCATGCCACTTCATCAGTGGCTGGTCGCGGGCCCCGGCCCCGCTTCTACTCCAGATCCTGGCTCACAGGCCTTCTCATCGGGAGCCAAGGTTTGACTTACCCCATACCTTGCTGCTTTCCCCCTGAGCCTTGCCTGCCTTTCTGGCTCTCCCCCTTCTCTGGGCTTGCCAAGCCACACTCCCAACTCCCCCCTCTCAGGGAGTAACCATGGACTACCCACTGTAGCCCCAAACACACCTCCCTTCTCCCAGGGAGTAAGTTCAGACTTCTGCCCTGCAGCCCCCTTCTGCTCTCAGCTCCTGGACTTTCTACAGGCCCTGCCTGTTCCTGACCAGCTGAGCCTCATTTAATCAACCCCCGCTCCCTGGCTCCTCCTCCAGGTGCAGCTTGGGCAGTTACTTGGCCCACCTACCACCTTTGCCCCTTTAGGCCTTGTGTGGGGTGGACACCCCGTCACTCCCCCCATAGTCCTATTACTGCATGTCTTTTCCATATCCCTGAACCAGCCTCCCAGATGGAGGAGTTTTATCCCTTATTAATCCTGTTTTATGCAACACTGCCTTCGAGACTTATTGGAATAATAGGAAAATCCTTTGAGCCCTGGAGGAAGCTGCTCCCCTAGGCGAGACACCCGTAGCTTCCAGGAAACTTCCCTGACCTGAGAAAGAGGGTACCAGAGTTCAGGTCTCCTGTCTAGCTGCTGTTCTTAGTCCCTTGCATGTATTGCCCAATGCCACGAACCCCAGCCTTTGCAGGCAGCTGCTGAATGCCCCCACCACACCAACATTTCAAAACAATAACCTAGAAGTGAGTTCATAGCAGCTCACAGCTGACCCCGAACTCGGGTCTCTGTCATGACAAACCCTGATCTTATCCCCGCACCCCACTGGTTTTCAGAGTGGGGAGCCAAACCAGGTTTAGTCTCTCTAACTTCTCCCGGAGCCAGGGAGAGAATCCAGGATTCCTGAACAGCAGGATTCTACTGATGACTAGTAAATGGTTGTGTAGCCCATTGGGGTTGTCTGTCAAGGCCTCCGCTGGTGGCTGGCCTGCAGAGGAGCTAGCAATTACTCCAGGGCCCTGTAGCTCAAATAGTGAGGTGCTAGCTCTGGGCTCTGATGGTCAGGGGCTCAAGCCCTGCTGCTGGTCTCTGGGTTGGGAAGGAACAGGATGGCTGCATGTCATTCACACGGTGTAAAGGCCTCTGTAAAGGAGATGATGTACTGAACTGTGATGAGCTGTACATCCTGGTGGGAATCTGCACGCATCAGGCATGTGTTACATATTTGGCTTGTATAACTGAATGGGGGGACGTGGGGTTTTGTGACGCATCCCTGTATGGTCACGCCCCACAGGTGGAGAGTCTGTGACAGCTCACTGCTTGTGAGCCTGGCTCTTTACAGCTTTTACAAAAGACTCGCTCCCGCTTTTTTCTCTGAGGTCGTTGGTTCAATCCCCGTTGTCAGCCAACCTGGTGACTGTCCCGCTTGCAGCTGTCCCACTCCGGCATGTTTAAAGGTTGAGAGGGGGGCTTCATTCTGGCAGAAGTGGAGATCCCAGAGGCAGGGGGGTGCAGTAGGTCTGCACACACATGATTTCCTGAGATGTCACTGCCTCCCACGCCCTTCAGGAGCCGCTTCTGCAGGAAAGTGTCCCCCGGCAGGTGCAGGTCTCTTACTCGCTGAGCAAAGCCCTGCTGTTGGCCTCAGCAATGCTGGGGTGTTCTGGTCTGATCCATAATGCATGGAATGTGTGGCGATGGATCTGCTGCCAGCCAAGCCTCTGGGGTTTCCCTGCGAGTGTGATGACACTGGGGAAGCTATTGCTGTTGGAGGTCTGTCAAAGATGGGAGCTGAGCATTGGCGTGTGTTATCGACAGCATTGTGGACAAGATGAGGATGGACAGGAACACAGGGGCCGTTCTCCTTACCTACGTCCCTCTGTGCTTTTAAGGCTTCGGGTGGACGGGTTATGTCCTGAGGCAACTTAGCTGCCCCTGAACCTTTAGTTCTTGACTTCTCATTAGAAGTAGCATTGTGACCCCAGCCAGCCATGGCCCTAGAGGCTGTATCCCTTGACAAGGGTAATAGAAATTGTTTCAGCTGACTTTGAGTAATGCCATGTTCTCCTTCTCTCTTTCAGCCTGTGACCCTGTCGGAATTGAAGCGGATGTCGGTGAAGATGTGCTCCTGCCCTGCATTGTCAAACGTGGAGACACTATCAGTCTTTCAAACCCTACAGTTAACTGGCAAGTTAACTGGTTAAATGGGAGTTGTGAAGTCGTGAACAGCTACTACTATGGCCAGAACCATCCAGAGTATCAGTGTGGACAATATAAGGGGAGAACGGAGTTCTCTTCTCAGGGATTGTCCGATGGCAACGCTTCTCTCCTCCTGAAGAATGTGACCCCCGCTGACTTTGGGAACTACACCTGTCATGCCAGTTTATATGAGAACACTCCCCAAACTTTACAGATTGTCCTGCTTATGCAGAAAAAGACCCAAGGTAGGTCAGCGACGTTCCCTTATCAACGGTGCTGTGACGGTTGTCCTTTCAGTGAGAACCCCACAAGCCCTTGAGCATAATTTTGAAGTAGGAGCCTGCTGTGATAATGTTTCATCCAAGTTTTATAAAGTAAATACATGGTTAACATGAGTTAAAAAGGCCAGGGACACTTCCTTGTGAAGAATCTGTGCAGCAGATCATGCTCAAGCTGTGAAAATGTCAGGTTTTGATGGAACTTTAGAGGCAGTGATTTATCATGTATTTCTGGCAGTGCCCAAAATGTGCTGCGATTGCTAACATCTTTCCAAACAAAAATAAGGCACAATTTACGGACTGGACAATGTTAAGGTCAGATGCAGGGCCGTGCTTAGGATTTATGGGGCCCTACACAGTATTATGAAACTGGTCCCCCTATGCCCGACTTGCTCTTAGCAACACAAACATAAGCTGACAGTAATGGAAACCTTGCCACGTGCCCTTTATTAAAACCATCCGAAACTAATTAAGCTCACTATGAAGCTGAGGGACTATACTTGCACTAAAGAAGTAGCACTATAGAAAAAATTCTGATTTATTGACAGAATGATACAAATAATATAATGTTTTGAATTTGTCAACATTTTATTGGACATTTCTATGAAGAGGTATTGAAACAAGGATTTGCTTTTAATTAAAAGCAATCTTTCTTGCCTTTTTGGCTGCAAAATCAGTAATAATATCATCGTATGACAAAGACAAAGTGATGTCTTGTTCGATTGCAAGAATAGCAAGACCAGTCAAGCGTTCCTGACTCACTGTAGAGTGGAGATAGTATTTTTAAAAGTTTTCTCATTCGTTGGAGTGTAAGTACTTTAGATTTGCCTCATTCAGCTTTCTAGAACTTTGGCAACAGGCCTGAACAATGGGCTGCTGGTGCTAGAAAGATGGATGTTTTCTGTGCTAGGCGAGCAAGCTGTAGCTGGGGAGAAAATAGAGTCCTGAAGCAAACTGTAAGTGGGAGTTGAAACCTCCGTTGCCTACAAATAGGCATTTGTCAATCAGAGCAGCGCAACTGATTCAGTTTCATGCCTTTGTAGATGAGGGTAGGCTGGTGGACCCCCATTGCCACTTTGGGACAAAATTGGCCACCCCCAGTTCCGTTTGTAGCCCTTTGCTCAGGGATCGGTGTGTTCCTCAGCATCCATCCAAAAGGAAACATGGAATAACAAAAAGCAACTGCCCTGTTCTCAGCTGATGCTGTGAGGCCTGTGGGAGCTAAAGGCTCTGGACCACCTTCCCCAGTCTAAGGGGGGGGTGGAGGGGTGAGGGGGGTCGCACCAGCATGCTCAGCCCTCTCCTGGACCCTCCATTTATATCCCTCAGCTGCAGCTGGGAATCAGACCCAGTCTCTAAATGCTGTCAAGCCAGGTTGGCTGATTCCCAGCACCGGGCTGCTGGGTTGCTCTGTGGGACGGGCTTGGCTGCTTCCTGGCCCCCACGGTCCTTGCAGAGACAGGCTGTCCTGTTACACACGTCCCCAGCCCTCCCAAGAGTGAAGTCGGTGCGCTCTTTGCCTCCCTCCTCATGAGAAATATAGTCCACATTCACACCGGGGTGGCCCTGGACTGGGGGTGAACCATAAGCGCATAGGGCTGCAGAGCCAGGTCAACCTGGGGTTCATGTCTCTCAGAGCATGCAGCCACTGCAGAGGGGCCTGGTCAGCGATGAGGGTAAAAGACACACCGAGCGAATAGTGCCTCAGGACCTTGATAGTCCACCTTAGCACCAGGCACGCCCCCATCACTACAGAGTTTTGCTGTCTCAGGAACAAATATTATTAAATATTATTTATTAAATATTTCTTCCCCATGTAGATACCTGGACTGTAATCAGGGCACTCCTTGACCTACTCTTTGTCAAGCTAAACAGATTGCGCTCCTTTAGTCTATCACTGTCCGGCGGGTTTTCTCATCCTTTAATCCTTCTTGTGGCTCTTCTCTGAACCCTCTCCACTTTATCATCAACATCCCTCTGGAATGGTGGGCACCACAACTGGACACAGGATTCCAACAGCATTTGCATCAGTGCCAAATATAAAGGTAAAATACCCTCTGTAGTTCTGCTCGAGATGCATCCTTGCTCATGCACCGAACGGTCACATTAGCCCTTTTGACCACAGCAGCATCACACTGGGAGCTCATGTGCAGCTGCTTGCTCTCCACCCCCCACAAAAACCGTTTTCAGTCACTGCTTCCCAGGATCGAGCCTTGCTACCCAGTGCTGTGTAGGAACGTTCCTTGAAGTATTTCTGAGTTCCTCGGGCATGTGACTTCCTCCCTTGCCTGAGCTGCTTCCTCATCACCTGCAAAAATACACACCAAACACAAACAAGAAAACACTAGACTGTAGAACCTGAGCTGAAAGAAGTGCTGAGCATGCAGCTTTGCTCACACATCGCCCACAGGAACCTTTTGGGTTCTCACAGCCCCTAGGAAGATCCCGACATCCGGTAACGTGGGGAGGGTACGGAGGGAAACGGGAGAACAAGCACATTTGCTGAGAGCCATCAAGCACTAGCCAGCGCGGCTTAGGGAGTGACAGCTCCTCAGAGAAGCAGCAGCCAGCACATTGCCAGCCTTAGCGAGGGCTGAACGCTTTAATAACCAGCGAAGCCTTAGGAACTTTGGGTAACTCCAGGAAACATTTTTTACTCCTCTCCCCCATCCAGCTATAACCCGATTCCTAATTCAGTCACACGTCTCTGCACAGGGCTGGCCAGAGGGGTTGGGGGAAGGGTTAGTGACCGGATTCTTTAAACTTTAAGCCGCCTCCTTAATCCCATGTCCAGCTGCCTGGATCGTAGGTAGCAGCGTGGTGAGGAGAGCAGCCTCCGGGGAGCTGGTATGTGGCCCACCGTGCAAGCAGAGGGGACAGGATGTGGAGCGGGCAGAGTGGGCTTTGCATCCACCCTCCATAGCCCCACCTAGCGCTGTTCTGCCAGCATGCCGGGGAAGTACCTGCACCAGGTGCAGACCTGCCACTGGATTCTTCCCCTTGGAGCAACAATCACACTCTGCCTTATGGGCTGCTCCAGCTGCCCCTTGCTCGGGTCTCACGGCAAAGCCACCCCCGAGCCCTGTTAGCTTGTGCTTTTCTGGAATCGCAGGCTAAGAGGCAGAGAATTTGATGGGTAAGATAAGGAAGCGGCCTTGGATATTGGCTTATCTAGCTCTATAAGACACCATTATTGAAATGCTCTTCAGCTGTCTATACCTTTGTTGTGTAAAGGTCTTATTTAGGTCTTCAAGTGCATTACTAAACCTTTACAACTGTTCCATAATACCTAGCTCTTCACCTAGAGAGCTCCAAGCGCTTTACAAGGGAGTGTCATTCCTATTTTACAGTTGGGGAAACTGAGGCACAGAGCGGGGGCGTGACCTACCCGAGGTCAACCAGCAGGCCAGTGGCAGAGCTAGGAATAGACTCTGGGTCTCGCAAGTCCCAGTCCAGTGCTCTTTCCACTAGGCCATAGTGCTTCGGTGCGTTTATGTTAGTAACGCACAGTCCAGCTGCCCGAGGGGCAAATATTAAGATTTGTTTGTCTCAGGAAAAAATAGGTTAAAACCTTATTTTGCAAATATTTTTGTCTTGCTGCCTAGGGGATATCAAGGTTGACAGGATCTTTGTTTCTCTTTACTGGTTTGGCATTGTAATGAAAATTGATTTTTAAAATGACTCGTCTCACCCACACACTATTGCACATACCTTCTTTAGCCTTCGTAGTCTTCTTTTTACACCAACACCACCCTGCAAAGCTCCCTACTACAAGAATCACTAGTGCGCTCAATAGCACACAAACCCTTCGAACGCGGAGTCGTTTTTCATGTCCTCCTGGAACGTAGGCATCTGTCTGAACAGTTGCACCTGCAAAACAGTAAAATGATTAAATAAGCTGGAACTGCCTCCAGCCATTTCCAATATAAACCCTCCCTCCCAGTTGCAATTAGCTGTTACTACAGCTTGCTCCATACAGCCAGGCATTCTGCTATAAGGGTTATGGGCTTAAAACCCACAGGTGGGCAATCAGGAGTGAATGCACAGGAAAGATGGGGAACATTGTGGTGGCACTCGGGAGGAAATGCAGAAATGCTCAGGGGAAGGGACACTAGACATCCAGGTGGGTAGCAATAAGAGCAGCAGGTTGAGACACAGCAAGGGTCTGGCTCATCTCAAGGTGGCCAGTAGCAGATGGATTGATGGCCTAGCAATTAGGTGACCCAGAGCAAAATTGCAAATGGGGTGGGGAAGAAGTTTGGCCAGAATGGGTAGCTGCAGCAGTGAGCCGGAGAGCGCTCACGTGTGCCGGCACAATGCTATTGGCAGAATTGGAGCACTGAAGATACAGGATCTGAAACACCCCTCATGTCCCTTATTAAATCGGAGTCCTGGGGTTTCAGATTCCAGAATTCGGTTTCCTGAATGCACCAGGGAAGCCTGATGGTGGGAATGGAGGGTCACAAAGAGGGAGATAACAGGACATCTAGAACTTGGGATTGGTGCTTTTTATTTCCCCGTAAATTGAAAGATAAAAATTCCCTAAGTTCTACATGAATCAAACCCTGAAAACCTTTGACTGAGCTTCCTGTCTCACCAGAAGGAGTTCAAATGCGTCACTGCATCTCTGGCGTATTTAGTACATGATCCGAAAGACGGCTTGAAAAAGCACATTTTGGGCCACACAGTGTGTCTGGCCTGGTGCTAATGGCCAAGCAGAAAGCTATGCTAGGAGACGTGCTAACACCTTAGGCCCCCCTACAGAACCAACCACGATCCCAGACACTGCACTCCTCTAAGCACAGGGACTGCGGCGCCTGCCAGTAGGGAAAACCCCCAGGAGGCAGAGACAGACTCTGCAAACCCATCCTGGGATCTGAGAGTCAAGCTGTGCTCTTCCCGCCTCAAACATCACCAGAAATAGAGATCCGATATGGCAAACTGTGCCCCTAGTTACACTGGAACGTTTCCACGGAAGCCTAATGGGGTTACAGGGGATCAAAAGAGGGCATCATTCGCCCTGCAGTGTCCCTATTACTGGTGATGGAGTGAGAGAAGGAAGAACCCAACTCAATCTACACTTCCTTCTCCCATCATGGCACTGACAGTTAAAGCTCCATTTCTACTTCTAATAACAGATCGTGGTAGACACAGAGTAATGGAGAGAAAAAACTGATCCCCAGGATGCTTCTCTTAATGTCACTTATCACAGCAAGCTCTTACTTCAAAATTATGCTCAAGGGCTCGTGTGGTTCTCACTGAAAGGACAACCGTCACAGCACCATTGATAAGGGAACGTCGCTGACCTACCTTGGGTCTTTTTCTGCATAAGCAGGACAATCTGTAAAGTTTGGGGAGTGTTCTCATATAAACTGGCATGACAGGTGTAGTTCCCAAAGTCAGCGGGGGTCACATTCTTCAGGAGGAGAGAAGCGTTGCCATCGGACAATCCCTGAGAAGAGAACTCCGTTCTCCCCTTATATTGTCCACACTGATACTCTGGATGGTTCTGGCCATAGTAGTAGCTGTTCACGACTTCACAACTCCCATTTAACCAGTTAACTTGCCAGTTAACTGTAGGGTTTGAAAGACTGATAGTGTCTCCACGTTTGACAATGCAGGGCAGGAGCACATCTTCACCGACATCCGCTTCAATTCCGACAGGGTCACAGGCTGAAAGAGAGAAGGAGAACATGGCATTACTCAAAGTCAGCTGAAACAATTTCTATTACCCTTGTCAAGGGATACAGCCTCTAGGGCCATGGCTGGCTGGGGTCACAATGCTACTTCTAACGAGAAGTCAAGAACCAAAGGTTCAGGGGCAGCTAAGTTGCCTCAGGACATAACCCGTCCACCCGAAGTCTTAAAAGCACAGAGGGACATAGCTAAGTAGAACGGCCCCTGTGTTCCTGTCCATCCTCATCTTGTCCACAATGCTGTCGATAACACACGTCAATGCTCAGCTCCCATCTTTGACAGACCTCCAACAGTGAGCTGTCACAGACTCTCCACCTGTGGGGCGTGACCATACAGGGATGCGTCACAAAACCCCACGTCCCCCCATTCAGTTATACAAGCCAAATATGTAACACATGCCTGATGCGTGCAGATTCCCACCAGGATGTACAGCTCATCACAGTTCAGTACATCATCTCCTTTACAGAGGCCTTTGCACCGTGTGAATGACATGCAGCCATCCAGTTCCTTCCCAACCCAGAGACCAGCAGCAGGGCTTGAGCCCCTGACCATCAGAGCCCAGAGCTAGCACCTCACTACTTGAGCTACAGGGCCCTGGAGTAATTGCTAGCTCCTCTGCAGGCCAGCCACCAGCGGAGGCCTTGACAGACAACCCCAATGGGCTACACAACCATTTACTAGTCATCAGTAGAATCCTGCTGTTCAGGAATCCTGGATTCTCTCCCTGGCTCCGGGAGAAGTTAGAGAGACTAAACCTGGTTTGGTTCTCCACTCTGAAAACCAGTGCAGTGCGGGGATAAGATCAGGGTCAGGGGTCAGCTGTGAGCTGCTATGAACTCACTTCTAGGTTATTGTTTTGAAATGTTGGTGTGGTGGGGGCATTCAGCAGCTGCCTGCAAAGGCTGGGGTTCGTGGCATTGGGCAATACATGCTTGGGACTAAGAACAGCAGCTAGACAGGAGACCTGAACTCTGGTACCCTCTTTCTCAGGTCAGGGAAGTTTCCTGGAAGCTACGGGTGTCTCGCCTAGGGGAGCAGCTTCCTTCAGGACTCAAACAAAGGATTTTCCGATTATTCCAATAAGTCTCGAAGGCAGTTTTGCATAAAACAGGATTAATAAGGGATAAAACTCCTCCATCTGGGAGGCTGGTTCAGGGATATGGAAAAGACATGCAGAAATAGGACTATGGGGGGAGTGACAGGGTGTCCACCCCACACAAGGCCTAAAGGGGCAAAGGTGGTAGGTGGGCCAAGTAACTGCCTAAGCTGCACCTGGAGGAGGAGCCAGGGAGCGGGGGTTGATTAAATGAGGCTCAGCTGGTCAGGAACAGGCAGGGCCTGTAGAAAGTCCAGGAGCTGAGAGCAGAAGGGGGCTGCAGGGCAGAAGTCTGAACTCACTCCCTGGGAGAAGGGAGGTGTGTTTGGGGCTACAGTGGGTAGTCCATGGTTATTCCCTGAGAGGGGGGAGTTGGGACTGTGGCTTGGCGAGCCCAGAGAAGGGGGAGAGCCATAGAGGCAGGCAAGGCTCAGAGGGAAAGCAGCAAGGTATGGGGTAAGTCGAACCTTGGCTCCCAATGAGAAGGCCTGTGAGCCAGGATCTGGAGTAGAAGCGGGGCCGGGGCCCGCGACCAGCCACTGATGAAGTGGCATGAGCAGGGCAAGGAGCAGGAAGACTGCCAGAGCCCATTTGTCAAGAGAGACTTTGATACCCTGGAAGGCGGAGGGGGGGGACATGTATGGCGACGTGCCCAGAGGACCGAGTGACGGAGAGGAGGCTGCAGTTCCTGGAGAGGGAGAGGGGTCTGCAGGGCTAGAGGATGACAGAGAGGCACCGCGAGCGGAGGGCGCAATGCCTGGCTGGAGCTAATCTCCAGGACGGCCAGCAGGAGGCGCCACTAGCAGGGAGCGAACCCCTGTGATGGGGTCAACCCATAAGGCTGGTTCTTTTACTGTTCTCTGGACCACGTGCCACTGTGCTAAATGGACGACTGGTCTGATGTGAGAGGACAATTCCTGTGTACAAAGAGAGAAGGGGAAGAACTTGTAAAGTCCTAGAACAGCATGAAGAAGTCGCTCCATTGGCTAAACGCAGCCCAGGCAACCCCCCGAAGTTAGTGGAGTTACGGGGAGTTTAATCACGGGCACTGCTGTGTTACCACCTCGTTTCCACTGCCCACCCAGCTGTGGTGTCAGAGAAAGGAACTAAAGGAGCTTGGCATGAGTTGTTTCATCACGTATTTTTACACCCAGTGCTTCCCAGCTGGAGGGAAAAGAAAGTGATTTGTAGGGTGCAGACTCTGTACTAGAGAGGAAAGACCAAGGGCAGGTTACACTTGTAAGGCTGCAGCAGTGACGCTGTGCTCCTAGGCCGACGGGAGAGCTTCTCCCACCAGCGTGGTTAATCCACTTCCGCCAGAGGTGGTAGCTCTGTGACGGGAGCAGCTCTCCCTTCGACACAGCGCTGCCTACGCCGGGGGTTCGGTTGCAGGATTACGTTGCTGCGGGTGGGGATATTTCACAGCTCTGAGCAATGCAGTTATACCCACGTGAGTCTGTCGTGTAGGGCTGGCCTAAGAACCAGGGCAGATTACGTCAAACTAACGTACATCAACATACAGCCACCGCAGTTAAGGCGCACACGTGGCCCCTTGTGTCGGCCGTGCGCGTTCTCACCTGGTGCGCTGTAGCGATTCTGCTGTCAGCGTGGGCCATTGAGTGACGGTTCCGGAGAGCCAGGAACAATCGGCACAAGCGACGCCGTGTCTACACTGACACGGCATCGGCCTAACTCCATCAACCTTGACTCTGCCGCGCGGGGAGGTGTGTTACTAAATCAGCACCGAGAGGCGCTTACGGTGGAAGGGGACACGGCGGAGGGTGGGGGTTAGGATTAGGGTTGTCAACTCTCCCGGATTGGCCTGGAGTCTCCTGGAATCGACATCGATTAACTGCGGTGGCTGTACGGTGATCACTGAAACCAGCCCAGGAGATTTTAATGGGCTATTTTAAGAAAATTACATTGTCATGTTGCGGGGGGAAAACAATCTCCTGGAATAGCTTCAGTCAGAGTTGACAACCCTAGTTAGTAGGGATCTGGTGCAGGGACAGCCAGACTGGGGCAAGGCACATCATTTTAGCACGTGCTGGATGGAGGCAGTGTAGGTGTCCGTGGGGACACGGGCAGACATTTCACCTGTCTGGACAGACCAAGGGTTGGGTTTTCAAAATGCCGGGGGAAGGGAAGTGGCCAGATGTTTGTACTGAGGCTTCTATTTCCCCTCCGTTGTGTGAGGGCCACACCTCACCGTGTGCTTTGCTCCGTATACTGACTCCACAGTCCCTCCTCCCCCATTCTGTATGGGCCCATTTTCATTCTTTGGTCTATAGCCAGGCTTGGGGTGTGTGTGTGTGGCGTGGGGGGGCAGTTGATGGGGAGTGAGAACAGCCCCCCCAGACAATTGGGTTTTGAACCCACAGACCAAGCACTGGCTGGGTACACAGAGGGGCAGGAAGCAGGGCTGGGTGCATTTACGTATCCATAGAAAGTTGAGCAAGAGCACGGAGCTGGCTCTGGGAGCAGCTGCCCTGCAGCAATGAGATCTATTAGCACAGAGCCGCCCACCCGGTTACCCCCATGGCACCGGGGTGGCAAGTCAGGGACACTGAAGACTAGAGTGTTTGAAGAGCTACAGAGACATTAGGGGAAACAGTGGGACTTTCTCCAGTTTGGTGAAGCGGTAGCAAGAGAGTAGATCGGTCACCTTACCTGCCAGGACAACGGGCAAAAGTCCAGCCAATACCCAAACGCTGCTGTGCGCTGCCATTTCTGTCGTTGGTTTTCAGACCCTCTTCTGACCTGCTTGTTAAAAAACAAACAAAAAAAGTAATCCCTTCACATGCATCTGCAGGACTCCTGCACAGAAAGTCCAAACCGTCCTAGTAACCCTGGCAAGCTGATCCACTTGGGAAGAGAGGCCAGCTCGGCGCTTGGGTCATTTTACAGGATAGTTTATCAGTAATATTATGGCAGTGCCTCAGGACCCCACCATGGACCAGGGCCCCATTGTGCGGGTGCTGTGCACACACATGGGAAGACATGCCCGTGGGGGCCAGGGACCGGCCACACTGCAGCTGGCAGTGCGCCCCCCCAGCCCGGGCAGACAGACTTACACCAGCGAGGCTCAAGCCAGCACGCTAAAAATAGCAGCGTGGGCCTCGCAGCTCCGGAAGAGACTCCAGCGAGCCACCTGGGCTCAGACCCAGGGGTCAGGTGGGCTGGAGGACCCAAATTATGGCCCGAGCCACAACAGCTACATGGCTACTGGTAGCATGCTAGCTCGAGCCCTGTGAGCATGATTCTGTCTACCCAGGCCGGGAGGCTGCTGCCAGCTGCTGTCTCAACGTACTTAGAGTCTCTTGTCTTATACTTAGGCTGCAACAGCAGTGGGACCCAGCCCGGAGAAACGCAAGGAAACAGGCGAGACTGTATTGGTCAGCACGATAGGCGCTGGTCACATCTGTGATGCCTGTTATATCAGTATCCTCATTTAATACCAGACAGTCCAGTTCACCCATCTTAGTATTTAGACATCTAGCATTTGTATACAAGCACTTATAAAATGTGTCACGTTTTAGCTGTCTGCCATTATATGGTGTAAGGCTGCACCTGCTGTGTTCAACGACACAATGGCACGGGTTAGTCATCGGTGTCAGACCAGGAGGAAGCAGGTCCAGCATCACTCGGCTGAACTCGTATGGGGTGATGCAATACTGAATACTGTCCTGGACTAAGCCATCTCCTCGTACACACGTGCCCCACCCAGGATGTGCACGTCTCACAGATACGAATCCACTGGCATGCAACCCCATCTGTCCCCGACCCCCATGTTCATATGCTCCCCCACCCCTGCAACATCCAGGCATCCACCTTTCACAATGTCAGATGGGGCATCATTTTAAAAGCCGAGCAGGAGAATCCTTAGATACTACAGTGATGGCTGCAATCAAAACCTTTGAACGGGACAGACATCAGGGGACAGACAGACTGAAGTCCCCCAGGCCAGACTCACCCCTCCAGCTTCTGGGAGAAGGGATTTTGCTGCCTGTTTATACTGACATATGAACAAAGTTACAAACGAAAATGACAATAAAAATGGGAGGGGGAGGAAATCAACAAAACAATCTTTTCTCTCTGTCTATGTGGGGGAGGGGGGTGAAGAACACGAGAAAAAACCAGGAGAGAAACAAAAAGAGAGAGAAACACGGAGAAAAAAGGCAGAGAGCAAGAAAAGAACACAAGTGAAAAAAGGTGACGGGGGGGGAGAAGAGAGGGAAAAAGTTAGAGAATAAGAGCTGGGCTCAGAGGGGTTAAACCCTGTCATAAATATAAAGGGAAGGGTAAACCCCTTTGAAATCCCTCCTGGCCAGGGGAAAGCTCCTCTCACCTGTAAAGGGTTAAGAAGCTAAAGGTAACCTCGCTGGCACCTGACCAAAATGACCAATGAGGAGACAAGATACTTTCAAAAGCTGGGAGGAGGGAGAGAAACAAAGGGTCTGTGTGTCTGTCTATAGTCTGTCTTTGCCGGGGATAGACCAGGAATGGAGTCTTAGAACTTTTAGTAAGTAATCTAGCTAGGTATGTGTTAGATTATGATTTCTTTAAATGGCTGAGAAAAGAACTATGCTGAATAGAATAACTATTTCTGACTGTGTATCTTTTTTGTAACTTAAGGTTTTGCCTAGAGGGGTTCTCTATGTTTTTGAATCTAATTACCCTGTAAGATATCTACCATCCTGATTTTACAGGGGGGATTTCTTTATTTCGATTTACTTCTATTTTTATTAAAAGTCTTCTTGTAAGAAAACTGAATGCTTTTTCATTGTTCTCAGATCCAAGGGTTTGGGTCTGTGGTCACCTATGCAAATTGGTGAGGCTTTTTATCCAACATTTCCCAGGAAAGGGGGGTGCAAGTGTTGGGAGGATTGTTCATTGTTCTTAAGATCCAAGGGTCTGGGTCTGTAGTCACCTAGGCAAATTGGTGAGGCTTTTTACCAAACCTTGTCCAGGAAGTGGGGTGCAAGGTTTTGGGAAGTATTTTGGGGGGAAAGACGCGTCCAAACAGCTCTTCCCCAGTAACCAGTATTAGTTTGGCGGTGGTAGCAGCCAGTCCAAGGACAAAGGGTGGAATATTTTGTACCTTGGGGAAGTTTTGACCTAAGCTGGTAAAGATAAGCTTAGGAGGTTTTTCATGCAGGTTCCCACATCTGTACCCTAGAGTTCAGAGTGGGGGAGGAACCTTGACAAACCCGGTTCAGAGAAGCCTGGATCCCCCACACTTACATCTGTACTTCCTTGGCCTCTGGGGTCTTGGGGCAGGCTAAGGCCAGCTGCTGGAGGTGAGGAGCGACACACAAACCATAGGTGCTGGAATTATGGGTGCTGCTGCACCCCCAGCTTGAAGTACTAACAAACACCAAACACATGGTTTCCATCTTCCACACCCCCACTATAAAAATTGTTCCAGCACCACTGTAGGGAGCTTCCCCCCGCCCTGCCCCCCCATGGCTGTGTCGACCTAGAAGTTAAGTCAAGATCAATCCTTGTTCCCTTCTATGTCAGCTGATGCTCAGTCCCTGAGGGTGGGTCTGTTTTCTCCACTTGCTTTTTCATCAAATCAGTTCCAAGCTCTCTGTGCACACACACTTACTGTATTTCGGTTTAAGAGCAGCTTACTTCAACTTAGCTTAAGGCAATTCCTAATGAAACAAGCCTGGTTTAAGGGGTCCACACAGACCTTTGCAACATCTTAACCATTAGCTTCGGGGAAGGGGGGAGGGGGAAAAGAACCACAGCAACTTTCTAATAAGAATGGCCACACTGGGTCAGACCAAAGGTCCACCCAGCCCAGCATCCTGTCTGCAAACAGTGGCCAATGCCAGGTGCCCCAGAGGGAGTGAACCTAACAGGTAATGATCAAGTGATCTCTCTCCTGCCATCCATCTCCACCCTCTGACAAACAGAGGCTAGGGACACCATTCCTTACCCATCCTGGCTAATAGCCATTAATGGACTTAACCTCAACGAATTTATCTAGTTCTCTTTTAAACCCTGTTATAGTCATAGCCTTCACAATCTCCTCAGGCAAGGAGTTCCACAAGTTGACTGTGCGCTGTGTGAAGAAGAACTTCCTTTTATTTGGTTTAAACCTGCTGCCCATTAATTTCATTTGGTGGCCCCTAGTTCTTATAGTATGGGAACAAGTAAATAACTTTTCCTCATTCACTTTCTCCACACTACTCATGATTTTATAGACCTCTATCATATTCCCCCTTAGTCTCCTCTTTTCCAAGCTGAAAAGTCCTAGCCTCTTTAATCTCTCCTCATATGGGACCTGTTCCAAACCCCTCATCATTTTAGTTGCCCTTCTCTGAACCTTTTCTAATGCCAGTATATCTCTTTTGAGATGAGGAGACCACATCTGTACGCAGTATTCAAGATGTGGGATACCATGGATTTATACAAGGGCAATAAGATATTCTCCGTCTTATTCTCTATCCCTTTTTTAATGATTCCTAACATCCTGTTCGCTTTTTTGACTGCTGCTACACACTGCGTGGACGTCTTCAGAGAACTATCCACGATGACGCCAAGATCTCTTTCCTGATTAGTTGTAGCTAAATTAGCCCCCATCATATTGTACGTATAGTTGGGGTTATTTTTTCCAATGTGCATTACTTTACATTTACACACATTAAATTTCATTTGCCCTTTTGTTGCCCGATCACTTAGTTTTGTGAGATCTTTTTGAAGTTCTTCACAGTCTGCTTTGGTCTTAACTATCTTGAGCAGTTTAGTATCATCTGCAAACTTTGCCACCTCACTGTTTACTCCTTTCTCCAGATCATTTATGAATAAGTTGAATAGGATTGGTCCTAGGACTGACCCTTGGGGAACACCACTAGTTACCCCTCTCCATTCTGAAAATTTACCATTTATTCCTACCCTTTGTTCCCTGTCTTTTAACCAGTTCTCAATCCATGAAAGGATCTTCCCTCTTATCCCATGACAACTTAATTTACGTAAGAGCCTTTGGTGAGGGACCTTGTCAAAGGCTTTCTGGAAATCTAAGTACACTATGTCCACTGGATCCCCCTTGTCCACATGTTTGTTGACCCCTTCAAAGCCCATGAAAGCTTATGCTCAAATAAATTGGTTAGTTTCTAAGGTGCCACAAGTCCTCCTGTTCTTTTTGCGGATACAGACTCACATGGCTGCTACTCTGAAACCTCTAGTAGATTAGTAAGACATGATCTCCCTTTACAGAAGCCATGTTGACTTTTGCCCAACAATTTATGTTCTTCTATGTGCCTGACAATTTTATTCTTTATGATTGTTTCAAATAATTTGCCTGGTACTGACGTTAGACTTACTGGTCTGTAATTCCCAGGATCACCTGTAGAGCTCTTTTAAATATTGGCGTTACCTTAGCTATCTTCCTGTCACTGGGGGGGTGAGAAAACCTGGATTTGTGCTGGAAATGGCCCACCTTGATTATCATGCACATTGTAGGGAGAGTGGTCACTTTGGATGAGCTATTACCAGCAGGATAGTGAGTTTGTGTGTGTGTTTTTTGGAGGGGGGTGAGGGGGTGAGAGAGCCTGGATTTGTTCAGGAAATGGCCCAACTTGATTATCATGCACATTGTGTAAAGAGTTGTCACTTTGGATGGGCTATTACCAGCAGGAGAGTGAGTTTGTGTGTGTGTGGGGGGGGGGGTGGAGGGTGAGAAAACCTGGATTTGTGCTGGAAAGGGCCCAACTTAATGATCACTTTAGATAAGCTATTACCAGCA